CCTTCTGGCAAACAGAGTAACGGCTGAAAATGGAAGGTATTTCAGAAAATGGCGGATTTCACTAATTGACGCCGACATATACTATTTTATTTACAACCATCATATTATTATTTCGATCAATAGTTATTTTTGTATCTAGAGCGCGAAATGCTACTTTGGTGATCGAGATCTGATTTTTTTAACGAGGCGTAGCCGAGTTAAAAAAATAGTCGAGATGACCAAAGTATTTCGCGCTCGAGTTGCAAACAAAATTTTTTCTACAAACGTGAAAAAATATAGTTCTGAAGTAAAAATATCCTTAGCTTGATATAAAAAATAGTGTTGAACCGGCTTGAAAGGTCTCCCCCTATCCTCCCTAGGTACGCACGATGTTCCACGAACATAATAGGAATTTCCTTTCGTGCGCTCCAAAAGAAAAAACAAAGTTATTGTTGAACATTCAGAAATAAATGATTTTGTGGATGTCTGCTCGATTGAGGACCATAAAGTTGAAATATAAATATCTCATTTATTTTACATAACAATGCGCGAAGTAGGTACTTCGCGCACTGTTTTACTTCGCGCATTGTTTTGTGCAAGGAATCTTGGTAACGTAGGAAACTGAAAAAAAGTGTCACTTCGCAATTTGTTATCAATGCGCGAACCTTGTCATTTTTTGACGTTTGTAGAAAAAATAAATAAATCTCTGTTTCGTTCTGAACATACCAAAAATATTACATTTAACGACAAATAACCAAAAGTTCGAAATATGACTCTGCTCCTGAGGATGGTGGGTTCTCTTGAATAGCCCTGAAGATGTTGTTATGTCTTCGAAACGGAATCATTGTAGGTATGTATACCCATACTATACTCTCTATACTGAATTCAAAAATAAAGTAAGGGCGGGAAGTAGAGTTGTGTAATGTGACACTTCCCAACCTTCAATGACGTTAGTAATGACAACATTACATATATGGCTGTAAATAATAGTATATTATTCAACGAGCGCATAATGATGGCTATTACCCACGAAGATGAAAGTTGCAGTACGAGCCGAAGGCGAGTGCTGTAATCCATCTGAGTGGGTAATAGTCATTATGTGCGAGTAGAATACTATACTTTATCTACAACTATTCACATATCAAAGCAACTCTGAGAGTTCAGAAATATATATTTGGAAATAATAAAGGTTATTATATTGCAAAATCACTAAATCTGATTCGAAATACTCATTAAATTCATCGAGAACTTATTGATAGAAATTTCAATCAACAAACAGTTTAAATAACATATTTCAATAATTTTGATTGTGAAAATGTGATTCAAAATAATGGATCTAACTTTCATTAACAGGAAGAAAGTCGTTCAATCACATATCAGTCAACCTTACCAGGTATTATATGCCATTTCACTTTTCAGTTGTAAAATGAATCATACTGCAGATTATTCATTTACTTGATTCCGTTGTCATTCCCCCACCGCGATGATTAATTGTAGTACCCTGACTCTAGACGCTAGTAATCAACAATGAAGTTCCATGGTTCTGATTGGTCTGTACTAATCTATTCGAATAGCTTGCACATAAGTGTGAGCTAATCTGCAACTGTCAAGTGTCAAGTCCTATTTTATGTTGAAAAGGAATATTTTCAGATAAATTAAGGACATCCAAAAATGGATATATATTAATATGAAGCAATACATTGAGAATTCGCATTCTCTATGTGATGAGAATATCTACTCTTTTTCAGTTTATTCAATAGAAAACAACTACTTTCCTGGCTATATGCCACGACGAACTTTGAATTATATCTATTGAACACACGATAAGAGTTTGAAAATAAAACATAAAAAACTTCTGAAATTGAGAATTTGTTTGAAAATAAAACATAAAAAACTTCTGAAATTGAGAATTTGCATTCTCCTTCCGACAAAATATTCTACTCCCAATATCTGAAAAACTGTTGATTTGGCAACATTGCCAATACATTAAAATTAAAATTGAGATTTACAAAATGTATCTTATTTCGTATTGCTAACTTTTATTTTACCAATCAGAAACGCATCCGCTGAAAGAAATTTTTCAGTCTAGAGACACAATGTCACAAGATTATTTTAAAACACGGTGGACATGGGTACCTGATTGATTTGATTTCTATACCTACCGTATTTGCCTTCACTTCAAGTTACCTATATAATTATGTTGAAGTTGAATATAGGTAGTTCCAGAATGCATCTATCAATTTTGTCAAAATCATTTTTCTTAATGCATTCCATTATTTCAATTATAATCGATCTACATTTCTCTTTGAATTGGCAGGTGACATTGTTTGTTTGTTCAACTATACTTTTCCTTTATCATGATAAGTAGAGCAAACTGAATTTGATGTATTTTTTTTACCTTTATGACACCCCGCTGAGAAACCTAAATGTCAATTTAGAGGCATTTGACCTTGAACAAACAAATTGCCTACGGTGTCTTTCTACTTTTCGTCACCCCCCTCCATCATAGGAACAAAGCTGTATATCACCATATACGTATTAATAATCAATACGGATAATCTCTATCTGTTTCCATAGCGAAACATGAAGCCGATTTTTGAAGACAAATGACTATCCATAAGGAAAAGTTTTGAAACGATCAGACACATACTGCTTTGATTGAAAGGCTAGTAAACGTCATTGTCCACCAAAACGCATGTCTTTGATGACTACTATAATAGCGCATGGCGCATGCGTATCATGCCACCAAATCCTTATGGATATTCATTTGTTTCATATTTTTGGCTTCATCCTGGCATCCGTTATGATCCGTATTGTTTATTAATACGTATATGTATATCACCCGCCTATTATGAATATTGACACCCCTCGAAAAATTGACAGTGCTGTAATTGATTTCGAACTGAAAGTTCTCACAGCTTTGAATAATATCTTCAGATAACAAATATTTGTTGGAATGAATTCCCAATTTTCTTGAAAAATCTCACCAGAGAAAGAAACAGATTGAAACGAAGAGCCACAAGAATTCTCTATCCTCCTCATAAATTGGAATATAACGAAGCTCGTAATATCGTGAGAATTGAGATTGATTAACTCAAGATGGCAGACCTCACTGGAAAATTTGAATGAAGGTCCTAATAATCTTTGGAAGTTCATCGAAAGAGTTGAGAATAAGAAAACCGTCATACCTCTTCTAAGAGGAGAGGACGGAGTCAAGTACAGCACTGCCGAAGAAGTTGAAGTCTTTGCTGAGTCACTTGTATCACAATTCAAGTTGATTGAGTCGCAGGAGTATGATCAGGAATGTGATGGTTCAGTGGAGCGAGTAGTCCTGGCCCATTTAAATAATGACGTTCACGTTTTTTGAATAGGGCCCGCCTCTACGGATGAAATAATCGCCTATATCAAAGCACAAAAACTCAGAAAAGCTCCAGGTAATGATGGAATTACAAACAGAATATTGAAAAAGATTCCTGTTAATTTCATCACGTACTTATGTATGTTCATCAACGCCATATTGAAACTATTATATTTCCCTCAAAGATGGAAACATGTCGAAGTAGTGATGCTTAAGAGGCAGGACCAAAATAATTTTCTTCCGCAGAGCTATCGTCCTATCAGCCTTCTAAGCTCTCTATCTAAGATATCTGAGCGAGTGATTAAACAAAGGTTACAGGAATTTATCGACGACCACGAGCTGATACCAGATGAGCAGTTTGGTTTCAGAACTGGCCACTCAACTGAGCTATAAGTCATTAGACTCATTGAGAACACAATATCGTTGAGACTAAAAACACATCTTGCTTTCCTTGACATAGCGAAAGCATTTGACAAGGTGTGGCATGATGGGTATCTTGTACAAAAAGATCGATATGGGCTTTCCTGACGATTTGATTCAGTTGATGTGTTCATTTCTGAAAAATCGAACTTTTCACGTGAAACTTGATGATCAACGATCTGGTATCAATCTCATTGAAGCTGGTGTTTCTCAGGGTGCAGTTTTATCGCCGCTGTTGTACAGTTCATATACCTATACTAGCGATTTGCCGAGACCAGTGATGTGCAAGATTTCGAGCAAGCAGCTATGAACCTCCAGAGCGCGCTTCAGGAGTACTTCCTAGGATGGAAGATCAAATTGAATCCTGCAAAAACACAATTGGTCGCACTCGGAAGGGAGCGGAGGCCTCCCAGAACCAGAATAGTTCTGGATGGTCATGATTTAAAGTGGTCTTCACAAGTTAAATACTTAGGAGCGTGTGCATTGACAAAAAGCTCACCAGGGCCCAGCACATTGAACAGCAAGTTTCAAAACCTAAACGAGCCATTGGAGCCCTGTATCCATTTCTTAACAGACGAAGTAAATTGGGTTTGAGACAAAAATTGAATATTTACATCATGGCTATCAGGCCAATTTTACTGTATGCCTCGTTAGTCTGGGGCCACACAGCTAAATCTCATATCACAAGATTACAAACATAACAAAACAAAATCGCGAGTATGGTGACAGGATCTCCTTGGTATGTTCGGAATAACCAGATCGCCAGGGATCTGAAACTCCCTTCAACCGTGTCCGTCATTAGAGAATGGAACATCAAGACTTTCGAAAAAGCTGAGGTTCATGAGAATCAGCTTCTTCGAAATGCAGTTGATTATGACCCAGTGGATCAATCAAAGTTCAAAAGAGCGAGATTGTCCATAAACTAGAGAAAATATCAACATTATGACCAAATTTACTCTTCTCAAGTTTTTTATATTTATTTATTCCGCTCGATTGTTTTCAATTCTCAGAATGTATTAATGAAACTTATTTGGGACAGAAGGGCTGTTCGCATCAAACTCCAATACCGTTTTCATTTTATTTTTTTTTTGTTTCATGATAGATATCAGGATAAGAGGGCCTCTTCCCTGGTCTGAATCAAATGAAAAAAATATAGAAAAAAACTCCATCATAGGAACCAAGCTGTATATCACGCGCCTATCATGAATATTGACCTTTCAATTATTGATGTTTCTCGTTGCAGATATCGGCAGCTACTAACAACGATTCGGCGAGCCGTCGAGACGCCTCCAAAGGCCAGTGCGTCTGGTACGGCGAATGCAACCTCACGCCCGTCAGCAACACCAAGCAAAACTGCCCCTACAACGGTCCACCGAAGCCCCTTAACGGTACCGGCATCGAAATACTCAAGAGAAGATGTCCCGACATAGATCCCGCTTCGACGTGTTGCGACTCGGACCAGCTCCACACCCTCGAAAAAAATCTGGAGTTGCCGGACACGATGCTGGGAAGGTGCCCTTCCTGTATGGCGAATTTTCTGAGACACATCTGCCACATGACCTGCTCACCGAACCAGGCCGAGTTCATGAAAGTGAACAGCACCACCGTGAATCCCAAAACGAATAAAACTTATATCTCGGAACTCGATGTCTACATCTCCAACGAGTATATCACTGGCACTTTCAACTCTTGCATACAGGTCAGTGTGCCGTCGACTGGCCGCAAGGCACTGGATTTGATGTGTGGAGATTGGGGAGCCTCCAGATGTACCCCCCTTAGGTGGTTCATGTATATGGGGAATAAGAAGACACCGCAAGTGCCGTTCCAGATAAATTGGCATAATCAGACGGGTAGTAAAAAGGGTTTTGTTCCCATGGATCCGACAACTGTTCCTTGCAGTAAGGCTTTGAATGTAAGTTTGTTTTTCCGCCACTAGCTAAAGAACCTACCATTATTCACTCCTTTTCAAGGGGTGTAGTGTGTTTTCTTACAACTGTCAAAAAGACTGCACTTTTCAATAGTATATTACATGAATAACAAGAGTTGTAAAACGCATATTACGCACGAAGTGAAGAGAGTTACACACGATGCCGCATAGCGGCGAGTGTGTAACTCCACAAGTGCGTAATTGCTTTACAACTCGAGAATTGTACTATACTTTTTCTACGACTACACTATATTTTCTTCCGGATAGTGAAGATATTGTATTAAGGCACAAATGACGAATACCAATATAAAACGTCTTCCGTCACAATTCTTGTGTTTGTTTATTGATACATTGCGTACTGAGACATTCTCCTCAATTCAAACTGAAATGGAACAATTTTTCATATCTAAACAGCTTTATTAATAGGTAGCCAAAAACACATTGTATAAAAATATAAAATTAACATTCATTATGGTTATTTATTTTCAACAGTGCCGCACGAGAGATTCTGTAATCGTTATTGAAAATAATAAAAAAAGTTCTTCAACTGCGCTCTGAACCACCGACCTTTGGGTTCGGAGCCAGCGCTTCCAACAACTGAGCTATTACCATTTCTCCGTATTGGAAGATATTTTATAAATATAATATCAAAGATGGATCTTTTTTAATAATTCCTGTTATTTAAAGAAAAAGGCATTCATCAATTCAATGTTGAGTATGTATGCTATTTGAAAAATTACCTTCAACAGGAGCATTCTGCAGAAAGTAATTGATCTGTTCAGCATTAAGTATTTTTGATTTTTTATTTCGGAATCCATCCTTCCCTTTTGAGGAAATGGGATATTATGTTGCTATATTAATATTGTGATTGATATTTAGTGTTGATTGTAATGTAACATGGAATATACCTATCGTCCAGAGTGATGATGATTTCATGAAATTTGGTAATTCTTGAAAATATACTAAAAGGATATTTTCCGAAAATGACACGGTATTATTTCTAATTCTCAAGTCCAGGAATTTTTTATGTGCTATTTCGTATCATTTACGAGACTATCATTGCGGGTAGCAACTCATTTTTTACCATTCTAGCTTTTTCCAACATTTCTGGTGGTGTTGAAATAATCTGCTCATCGTCATCGCTTGACATCATATTTTTAAACTGAAATTGAGGATTCTCAATAGAAAATAATCATATTTTCAAAAAATATAACTTTCCTGATGCTTTCGGTTTCGGTGGATAGCTGGATTGATTGATAAAAAGATAAGTACCTACCCACCTAGCTAGTGACATTAATGAAATTGTTAATTGTTATTGACACATCGCCTAAGCAACAAAACAAAGTCATCTATCAACATACCTATGAAAACCGTGCGATCGCTCTCTTTACGCACACGTGTGTAAGGAGAAGCTTACTGCCATTGTTTTGTGTACAATTTCCATCACTTACAGTAGTAGTCGTAGGAAAAATATATTTTGTGTGCCTAAAGTGTACAATTTTTTATTATCAAAATATTGTTTCATTATTTTACGGAAAAGTGTGAAAAAAGTACACTTTTTTCACTGTTGTTGCTAGGCGATGGAATGAATGCCTGCGGGAAAGGGGCCCGTACACTGCGTTGTTGGTAGGTTGTTTTGTACGATGAACAAGTCGGTTCGGACAAAAATGACGCAACACCAAAGTGTGTGGCTGCAAACTATTCGTTTTCGCTAGCCACACACCATACAATTCGGTATTGCGTCATTTTTGTTCGAACATACTTGTTGGATGAATAAAACAGCCCACCAACAACGCAGTCTATGGGCTCCTTGACGGGATTCAGCAAGGCAGCAAGCGAACAAATCAAGGCGGCTGGTTGTTTTACCTTCTTTGTTATATGTCATGCACCAAACCAGCAAAGCAATATACAGTGTCATTCATAAAGTCGGGAAAAACTTTTAATGATGATTTATTTCAAAATTCGACTTGGGCTTAAAAAAATATGAAAAAATGGACTACTCGGTTGGGGTATCGGGGTAACCTGACTTGCTACATGTCAAAAGTTACGTTTTGTCAAATCAATCGCTGAAAATAGGCTTATTTGTTTGAACTTTGAAAAAAATTTACTGGGAAAAGTTTTTTGTATTCCGATTTAACATATATAATTTGACCCGAATTTGAACGTTCTATTACAAATTTTTGTTTGTTGATATTTTTTCAATTCCTAATGTCTAATATCGAAAAAAAAATTAACACCTCCACAGAAAACGCTATTTGACGATGATGTGAGTCGTTTTGACATCGATAAAAAAGGGTGCACCTTTTTTATTCCTGTAAAACTGCCTGTTCTAGTAGTAGGTATACGCCTGATATGTCACTCCAATTTCTGTCGTGTCTAGTTTGATTGTTGGGTAAGAAACCACAAAAAATATAAGATAATCAAATCTGCAGACTACCAGTCACACGAAATCATCAATAAAGGTAATCCTTATTGTTGTATATTTGTATATTTTGGTTGATTTATCTTGCCAAAATACACTGGAACTTTTTTTTTCCAATTGGATGAATTTTCTTACTAACTCAAAAATGTTCCATCAGCAATTTCTCTCGAAAAACGCACATTAGACAACATTCTCGACCGCGGTCTCGCATTTTTTTCATGTCAGTTTTTCTCGTAAAATTAGTGATCGGCAAATATTTTTCGTTAGCAAGAGAAATGTATCCGATAGAAAAAAGCTGTTGTGTTTTTTTGCTGTTGACAAAAATATGATTTTCTTCAGAAAATAATAATACCTGCTTCAAAAAACTGTTACGTTTGATGCAAAGTTCATGTATAGTCTATCATTCAGGAGAGAAATTTATTTATATTGATTCTTCTATGAAAATATCATCATACTATTTAACGGCGACCTTTCACTTTTCTATAGATACTTCCATGCGCTTCCACGAGAAGTGTTCCTCAGAAATCTCTGCTATAATTCCCTCACTAGCGATACCAGTCACACGAAGTTGACATGCCCAGTCAGCACATCCTTTCGTCGTTAACCTTGAAAAATGTCGAACAACACTACCGAACCTCCTCTCCCTATCCTCCCTAGGTACGCACGATGTTTACCGAACATTATAGGAATACCCTTTAGTGCGCTCCAAGAGTGGAGACAATGTGTGAAATTGGAATAGAAACAACTTCTCTTAGTAAACCTTTTTGGAATTCGAACAAATAAATAAGACTACGTTCAGCGATCAATTTTAAAAATGTGGCTTTTGACAAGTAGCGAAAGTCACGTGACACCGACCGAGTAGGCTATTTTTCATAATTTTTGAAGCAAAACTCAACAACTCCCAAGTCAAGTTTCAAAATGAATTATTATTAAAAGTTCTTCCCATATCATGCCAACTTTATGAATGACACTGTAGATATGACAAATATTAGACAGTTAGACAGTTTCAAATACTGTTTTTGTCATATATCAGTAAAACATCATCATTTTTAACCAATTCATAGTTTCAGAACTCTTTCATACTTGAAGATACAAATATTGATCATCAATGTTATATGCCTACTGGTTTCAATTTTTTTCCGGAAACGCACTTCCCAGAATGATTATTTCTAACAAAAGCGTTCGTTGAGATAAACCATCTAATTCCGTCATACCTTCAAAAATGTTGGCTAGTATCCAAATCTAAATTTATAATGATTCATTGTCATGTTTTTGTTTTCAATTTTATTTCTAGGTTTCATTGTTTTTTAATGGAAATTCTCTGTTGTCATTCTTAGCGTAACAGCGTAGCTTGTTCAGGGGGGAAGAGTGGCAATGACGAACTGTCATTTTATTGTACAGGGTGCGCCGCATAAAATTGAACCCCCACCCTTAACTTCTTTGTTTTTGAAGATATAAAAAAATCATTGGAGAAAAAGTTGTATAAAAGTATTCGAATTTTGATTTCAAGATATTGTTTGATATACAGGGTAACTTATTTTTCAGAAATGAATATCAACTCTTGTTTTTCAAATGGAACACTATGTATATTTTTCGACGATTCAATAGAGCTGTTTTTTCTGCATCTATTGATACCAACAATGTTATATTATTGTGCATGACCCTGTAGATATTTGGTTGAAGAGACAGTTGTCATTAGAATTATGAGAGATGTCATAAAAATACACGTTCTCATGAACTCGATTCTTAAATGATTTTTCCCCAATAGCTCCTTGCTAGAGGCTACCTACAGTATCTATTACATGGTGTCAGGTCATACACAAGGAATTCAAGAATTTTTAGCAGCGAAATAGTTGAAAGTATCAGAAAGACTAGCATGGAAGAAAAAATCAGACAATTGGAACAAAAACTGAAGAAATATGAAGAAACTGGACCAGTACAAGTTGAAAATACGAATTTGAGCCTACCATTACCAAGAGCAATTAGTTTGGAAGGAAATATTTCCGAGAATTTCAAGTTTTTCGAGCGATCATGGAATAACTACGTCATTGCAAGTGGATTGATCAGGAGATCCGAGGAAGAAAAAATTGCAATATTACTGACCGCGGTAGGAGAAGAAGTATTCAAGAGATACCCAAATTTTGATATCAAACAACAGGAAAAAGGAAGTTGTTCTAGTTTGTTAGAAGGAATTGGAAGAAATCTCACTCCAGAAGTCAATATAAGATATGAACGTGCTGTATTTAATTTAGCTAGACAGGAGGATCACGAAACTTATTCGGAATATTTCAATCGTTTGCAAACCCTAATAAAAAACTGTCAGTTTGGTGCATTGGAAAGTGAACTTTTACTTGATAAGATCATTTATTCCATCAGAGATATAAAGTTGCGCGAAACGCTTTGGCTCAAGAGAGATATAACATTATCTGAAGCTATAGACAGATGTAAGGCAAAGGAATTATCAGAAGCCCAGTTGAAAAGCATTGCTGGTACAGATCACGAAGTAAATAAGCTACGCAGAGGAATAATAACATCTAATAGAGGAAATTTCGGGCCAAACAAC